TGGACGTACGCATAGAATTTGACTGCAAGGAGAATGTGTCTGCAAATACTACAGCCTATTGTCTCATCATACACGATCGCATGGTTCAGTACAATCCGTTGACCAACGTTGTGCGCAAAATCACCTAAGTGCATTCTCCGACACGTTATAAAATATATATGATTCATCGAAATCGATCGCAGTCTCGAAAAATCACCATGACCGTACCAACGTTTATGGATCTGCAAGGATTTATCGTTGGAAAGAAATTTATTGTGAAGGAAATAGCGGTGTTGAGAAAAGGAGCCATTCTCTCTCATTACATTTTTACATGTCCCATGCCATGGAGTTTCTTGACAAAATCAGAAAAGCATTGCGCTTCCTGGCTGAGTGCTTATCACCATGGATTGCAATGGGAAGACGGGACGATCCCGTACAGCATGGTGAAACGTCTGATTACGATGGCTGTAATTGATGTGGAAGAGAATGAACATATATGTTAAAGGACGTGAAAAACACGAATGGCTGATGTACTAGATAGCGACAACTTGACCATTGAAACCTTGGATGCTGATTACAAAGATATAGATTCTTTGAATAATCTAGATGTTACCAATACTATGCGATGTGTAAAACATGTTAAGAATTGTGCGTTACAAAATGTATTTAAAATATACAACTGGTGGTCGCAACGCAACGTCAAAAAGAAATGTATCAAGTTTAAAATAAAATATGAGATTTTTTTAATACATTTTAAATTTCTTTTCCCTTTCCTTTCCTTGTAGTTAAGAATTAGTTAATAATAGTTGTTCAGTAGAGAGTAGAGAGTAGTAGTATGATTTAATAAGTATTGAATTAGTCGATAAGAAAGTGCGCTTGACCATTTGTATTATATTGTAACAACCTAACTTCCTATGCGCGGACGTAGCTCGTCGGAGACTCTCGGCGCGGGGCTAGAAAGAGGTTCGAGCAGGTTGGAGTGAGATGCAGTTATGCAGGCGGTTAAACGAAATGAACGTATTGATAGTGATTAAACAAATTAACTAAATAGCTTTAATATAGTGCCAATGGTTTATACAGAAGGTACGCATACAATTATTTACAAAGAGAAGAAAAGATACGTGCGCTGGATACCTCGAGTATGCTGTCACGGCTCGGTATCTATAGCATGAAACGGCGGGTCGCGTCGGATTCGTTGGCCGGGGCGCGCGGGAGCGAGCCAGCCAATCCGTTTGTACGGCGCGGTTGCGAGATGCAGTGCGGCACGGCGCGAGCGGTCGCACCGGATTCGCGGATGCTACGAAGCGCGAGGGCGCGCCAGCCAATCGGTGGTCGTGGCGCGCTCGGGATATGCGGCGCGGTCGTGATATACGGTGCGGTAATTATGATTGAGCGCTTCCCCGATGCAATGGGGACAGCGTGGTACTGGCGAGGATCTACGACCCCAAGAACGCTTGGGAGGGTGGAGAACACTCCACCCTTGAATGTGTCGCAGGCCCGCGGCGTGCAGGTAGGGGTGCGGGACCTGGAAGGGTAAGAGCTGGAGGTGCAGGCAGCTGTCTCGCTTATCGAGAACGCTCGACAGTGACTGAGAACGCTCAACCACTTTGTTCTTGCGATTGGCTGTGGGGAAAACAGATAGTTTCTCGCTACCGAGAACGCTCGGCAGTGACTGAGAACTCTCAACCACTTTGTTCTTGCGATCGACTGGAATCTGCTTTTGAGGAGTCTTGGAGCGGTTTCGGAGCGGAGCTCGGAAAGCGGAAAAAGGCTCTGAG